TAAAGACGATAGCCTTGAGAGTTCTGATAAACTAACCGAGCAGGGTCAGAACAGAGAACTTGTTGTGTATAAACAATCAACGTTCTTATAAACGAAGAGATACACGCCCACATCTCTGCATACCAAAAGAAGGTACATGTATAAGCTTCGAGACATGCAAGACTAAACATGTCTACATAACCATCCACTGTGTTGCCACATCTACATACAGCATTCTTAGTTCCAAGAACTGTATGAATTCTTGTAGACAGACGAAAAATTTGGGAATTTTATACTTGGAATCAGTCTAAAAATTTTTACACATTTTATAAAGTCTGTAAATTTCAATATCTGATTCTGTATTCTTTCTAGAAAAAAACAGCGTTTATTTGGTTCGTTTATCACAAATATTGTAGAAATCACAGCAATTTTAGGAAATGATTACAGTTTTTATTGCTTTAAAATTGCGGGTATTTAAATCAAATCCGTCCCACTGCCATTACCGGAATTTAAAGGGCCGTCACTTAAAGGTTAATAATATATACTTGGGATGAACCATTAACAGTTCCATGCTCTTCACATATCACTAGTGAAAACTTACAGCACTATTGCCAAGGTGACATGAAGATGAAAAGGAAGTAAGTTTCCAGGGTAAGAGGAAGCAGCAGTGATGGGGAGGCAGGTAAAGTATGAAACAGAAGTAGCGAACAAAGTCATTGTAGGATTTGAGGTTCTCACAGCAGTGGTCATAAAGCCTATATAACGCCTTGTAATCGGTTGAAAGTCAACCAAGTGGAGGAGGAACATGTTGCCTCCATCTGCAGGGTCGAAGAAACACAGTAATGATACTTGTCCTTACATACTCGCAGCTGGAGTTTAATATATGACTTCTGTTTTGGAGACTAGGACGCATAGAATATTGAAGGTTTCTCATGGTTATGGCAAAAATTGTCATTGCCATCTTCAGTGTTGACTGGAATGTTTGTTGAAAATTTGGAAAACCTTTACCATTCTGTGGGATTTGGGGTTCTCACAACAGTGGTCATGAAGAGTACTGTCTTCTGGGATTTAGTCCATTGAAAGTCGACTTTAATGGACTACACAGTCCTATATACCAGAAGAAGAAGCCATTGTGTTTGAATGTACTCATGCAGAAACAGTGTTGCCAGCTCTGGCAAAATGCTGCAAGTCCACTAATCCACACGTGTTTAGAACACCATGAAGATTAATGTGTTCACTACAGTTTGTTTTCTTATTGGTGTACATCATCTACCTCACGAATGTGAATATAGCACCATATGCTAGAGCACACACAGTGCAATATCACTTGGATAGAGGTTACACTGGTGTAAAATGTAAAAATGATGATTGGTAGAAAGAAAGATGCTAGGTGGAATTCTCAAAGGAATAGAAGTAGATGAAAACCAGGAAGAGCTTGGAAGAGAAGAATCAAGGAGAATTCCAAACAAAAGGCAAAATATGAAAAGAAGCTAAAAAAAATGGCTGAAGATGAGGCCTTCTGGTTCTTCTGGATGTCCTGTGCTCCGCCTGGAAATGGCAGGAATAATAGGGGTGGTGCTCATGGTGGTAATGAAGTATACAGAAAGTTGTAGGGAAACAGTGTGCCTATTCACATGTACACATGACCATAACTACATTACTTTGGAAACAAAGTCATTTGTTCTGTAAACCATTATGGTTGCCAGTTATACAGACTAGAAGATGTATGTGTTGTGTAACAATGGTTCTTTAATTATTTCATCTATGTCTGATGGATCTCAGCCTTCTGCTGTCCTAACATAAATATTTCAGAAAATTTTAAATATGGTACAAGAATAACATTCTTATTACTGGGGTCCATTGCCTCTATAGATACACTCTAAAAGTTCAAGATTGATGGTACATGAATACAGTGATTAATTTTGGACGTCATTTTAAATAAACATTAGGGTGATAAATATTGTCCAAAAAATCAAACATTATGGTTCTGTAGATGTGATTTAATCTTCCCTAACCATTCCTCAGTAGCAGCTTCCAATGGTGGATGTTCCTCTTACTTTGGGTTCCCAAAATGTCCCTGGCCTCAGCTACAGCAACTCTCAACTAACTGACTGACTGATTCATTCACCAGCCCACTCTTCACTGACTGACTAACTGAGTCACTCACCAAACAACTTACCCACTCCTCACCAGCTGTCCTGGTGATAACATCACAGATGGCACAGAAAACACCATTCCTCTGTTGCAGTGTAATTGTTGCCACTGAAACATGCTTGTTTTGTGAAGGTGTTACTTAGCAATGGCTGTTATATAGCTGCTTCTTTCATAACCGTTGCCTAACAACAAGTCTACATGCCACAATACATTAATTGTGATAGATGAATATATAATGTTGGATTGGTTGTAATATAATTGGTGTCATATTTTTGTAGGGACTGCCATTGTATTTTATCACTATTTTTGTGTATGTTCTTGTGGGTGTGATCTTCTGTTGGCGAGTGCTGTGTTTGTGAAGGATGATGATGTGGAAATAGTGCTGACTGAGGTTTTTCATGGTTTTCCTTATTCACTCTAAGCAAGTGTCAATATAATGCTCTAAATTAGGCCACAACCATTATTCTCCAGGTAAAGATAAAGTTGACCATGTGCTCAACGAATTAAGCACTGTGCCATGAAGGCGTATGGGGGAGTGGATGTTCACCTTGTTACTAGTTGGAGGTGAGTGGTCAGCTTCACACCCCTGCCTCTTTACCCCCAGGGAAAGAGCCCTGGGTGGAGTGGAGCTATAACTCCACTGTTTGTAACCTCAGAACAGCATAGAGGTGATTGTTTAGCTTCATACCATCATTGCTTTATCCCTTAGGGATACAGCCCCCCCCCCCATATCCATTGGATGGGATGTTTTGATGGCCCTGAGAGCCAGTCTGGATGCTATGGAGAAGAGAAATATCTCATGCCCCTGCTAGGGATTGAACCCAGATTCCGTGAACATTTATCCTGTAACATAGTCTCTATATTGAATGAACTATCAACTCCAATTATGTCCATATAATTTTGATTCTGATAGCAATATGAATTATAGTAATTTTGCATGCTCTGCATGTATCTGTACTTGTTGGAAAACTTTCTTTCATGCTATATTTGTATTAATTTTTCCCCCCTAATTCCAGTATGTTATAATTGTTTTAAAATGTAGTATCTTTTTTTTTGCAAGACATGTAGAATATTTGTGCACTGTATTTGTAGCACAAGCAACTGTATTAATACCGTTACCCTTCCTTCTGCTTCCACTCTCACATTTTAGCTGTGGCTTGATCCCATACCAGTATTCAAACCTGCATTGTCTTCTGCTGGAAATCTAAGTTCATCATTATCCTACTGTGGCTTGGACAGCGAAAAGACCAGAAGTCCATCACCTTCATTCACACCCCAAGCAGGTGATGAAGACTGTGACAGCAATAACAACAGTTATGAAGCTTTTCAGCAGCAAGATGGAAGACAAGATATTGAACAGAAAGCAAATTCTGGCCTCAGGAAACCATCAGGAATCAGGATGGATGAACACCGGTTGCCGAAGAAGCGCAAGCGATGCGGAAAATGCTCGGGCTGCATGACGGTGGGTAATTGCGGCCAGTGTCCACCCTGCAACAGCATAAAGACTCACCAAGTATGTCGACAGCGCAGGTGTAGCAACCTCCTGATGGCAACCATGCCAGCTGGCATCAAGAGAAGCAGCAGTAATGTGCAGGTTGGTGTGGACCCTTGATTGGTTTAGGCAGGCTTGCAATTGCAGCAATCCCTGCCAGGTCTGAGAACAATCTGCAGCCAGTGTCATAGCAACTCATCTCTGAGCCATTCAGTTACTGTTAAGCACTTTGAGGGGCTCTGACAGAACTCTGAAGCTGTGAAACTAGTCATCTCAGGCTGGCTGTTACACTGTATTTCCAGCTTGGATCCTTGACAGCTGTGACCAGATTTCCCGCAATAGTTCTTTCCTTATATATCCTTTGTCTATTTATAGATTAAAATAGGATCCAAAGTAGTTCTTTTATTTCAATTTGGAATGATCAGAAATTTTCATGAAGGGTTGCATAGTACATAGGATTCAGTGTTATTATGGTGGAGACTTAACTTTAGTACCCCTGTGTTGTGGCAGTGTGTAGTGTCTGTCGTAGGTAAAATTGAACATTATTATGTGAAGCATATTACACTGAACTGTTCCTGCATGTAGACTTGATGGAAATGTATTTCTGCCTCTTAAAAGGGTTCTGTTGTTTTGTTTTGGAAACATAACTCTAAAGACAGAATTTTAATTTCATGAAACTCTCAGTGCAACCTTGAAAGTACTGCATTTTACTGTATTGCCAGGATAGTGCCTCATTTTATGCTTCTGTCTACAACCTTCACAGTTCCATCATTCATTAATCATCCTGTGATTCATTGCTACAGTCTGAGCTACTGCAGTGTCATATAAGAAACTGTAAATATATAAAATAAGTGTGGTGAATGTCACAGGCTCTTTTTTGGGGTTTGTTTGTCAGTAGTGTATGCAGTGAAACTTCTCTAAAAGACCATCCCTTTTAAAAACCGAATTTGTGTGGCACAGATCGTGTTTTAGGCCATTTTAGTGCAATCTGGTTCCCTATTCCAAGACTACCCCTATCCCTAACCAGCAACCGAAGCCCTCTAAAAAGACTCTTAAAGACACCATGAGGACTTAAGTCAGTATGTTAAGTAATTGTTTTAACACCTTTTCTAACAAGTTCCTGAATGAAGTTGAGAACTTACTTGTAAAAAAAGCAAATTTAAAACTGTAATCAAAATTATGAGGGTTGTCCGGAAAGTAAAGACTGCTAGCACACGTGCATTAGTTGCTGACTTCCTGGGACTTCCCCCACCCTGACCTCCCTACAGTCTAGACCTGGCTTCAAGTGACTTTCACTTGTTCACACACACTTGAAGCAGTTTTAGTGTGGCATGTGGGTGCATAGTGACAAAGAAGTGAAGAAGACAAATAAAGACTGGTACAGTGGACTGGTGGCAGATTTCTACATTGCAGGCATACAGAAACTCATCACATGATATGACAAGTTCCTGAATCTCCATGGGGATTATGTAGAAAAATCATTTAAGGTCTGTAGTAATGATGTAAGATGATTTTTTTTATTTTATTTTTTATCACCAAACTGTCTATACTTTCTGGATAACCTACATATATTTGGTTTGATTTTAACCCCTCAAGCTGATATATAAACTTCCACTAGCTCTAAACTGCAATAGAATTTAAATGGCTCTTTAGCAGACCTATTGCACAGCATTATTTCACTATCATGTAACAGTAAAAAAGAAAGTAAAGCTATCCCTGCAACAGGCCATGGAGGGCCATAGGGTTGTGAGACATTGAGGCTTTGAGGCTGTCACATTTTCTAAGACAGTCAGCTCAGAGGTGGTGGTGTGGTCAGCTTTATGTGCCAGCCTCTCTTTACCCTGTAGGAAGATTCCTGGTAGTCATTTCTGTTATTCTGTTAGAGACTGAGTCAACCCCAGGGCCATAGTGCCAATAGAAGGATTAGGTTAATTGAAAAATTCGGTGACCTCATCAGGAATCTAACCTGCAACCTTCAGGCTTGTAGCATAGTGCTTGAACCAACTGCGCTACCGCATGCCCCCATTATATAGCAGAGTAGTAGTGTAATGTGTGTGGTACATATGTACAAGGGTTGGAACTTTAATACTGGCAACACTGCTGTAGACACACCATGAAACGGAACCAAATAATGTTGCTTATACCATACGTTAGTTACATACCTACCTTACCTCAGAGCAAATGGACTCTCCCTTCCCACATCACGCGCATGCGCAGTGATGAGAAAAACAGCCTCGTGTTAGTTGGCGGTCTAATGTAGTGTTGTCACGATGTTTTTGAAACAGGAACAAGGAAGTTGGACAAAGATTGAATGTGCCAGAGGCCTCACAGCACGACAGTGTCATCAAGGTCTTCAAGAGGCTTGCGGGGAATCTGCATTGCCTTACAGAACAGTGGCAAGGTGGGTAAAAGCCTTCAATGAGGGATGCCAGAATGTGGCAGACATGCATCGGCCAGGTCGTCCTATTGTCAGTGAAGAAGTGTATGCTCTTTCCGCGTTACTGGAGAGTGATTGACACCATACAATTCATGAGCTGGCCCAAGAGACAGGATTAGGACATATGACTGTGCTTCACATTCTGAAGGAACTCCTGGGCATGAGAAAAATTGCATCATGATGGGTTCCGCATGATTTGACGGAAATGCAGAAATGGCTATGATACAACGCTCCTCATAACCGCTATGAGCGTGAAGGAGAGGCTTTCTTACGTTGTATCATTACCCTGGATGAGACATGGGCCAAATCGTATGAGCCACAAATGAAACACCAATCGAATGAATGGCATCATTACGGGTCACCACGAAAATCAAAAGTTCATCAGAACCCCAGCAATGTGAAAGTTATGGTGATTCCCGTGTACGACTCTGATGGTGTTATCCTAACGCATACTGTTCCCTGACAGCAGACTGTCAATGCACAGCGTAACTGTTCATTTTTGGAACACTACCTGCGACCAGCTTTGAGAAAGAAGCAGCAACACTTTCTGCAGAACCCACCCATCATTTTTCAGGACAGTGCTTGGTCGCATGCAGCACAAGCTGTGGCTGATTTGTTCAATCGGTGGGGCTGGGAAGTGCTGTACCATCCACCATACTCCCCGGACTTAAGCCGTTGTTGCTTCAACTTGATTCCTAAGATGAAGGAACCACTTCATGGTATTCGCTTGAGAACTGTTCCAGAGATTCTTCAGGCAGTAGACCGCTCCATTCAAACTGTCAACACAACAGACACTGCTAAAGGTATCCTATGACTTCCACATCGCTGGCAACGGGTTGTACACAATTCTGGTGACTACATTGAAGGACAGTAAAACTTTGAAACATGCATCTATTTTGTATCAATTGTAAATGAATAGTTGACACTGTTAAAGTTCCAACCCTCGTAAATCTTTATGTGTGTGCTTGTTTAATTATTTGGTACAAAAGGCCAGAAGTGGCTGCAGTACAAGGGACTTAGTCCCACCGCACTAGCATTGTTTAATTATTAATGCTTGACTAAAGTTATTGCTGCATCTGATACTTATATAAAACAGTACTAAGGGCAATAAATTTGTGCAGTGCAATTGTTACATAATACAGTGTTTACTGTACTGTACTACCCAAATTCTCACCCATCCACCCCTATAAAAAGCATTTATGGGCAGAATGATTGGTGGTGTTCCTGGCAAAGTTTCACAGTAGTTTATTTAAAGATGCTGCAGTTATATATCATTGAATGACAGGATGATTAATGAGTTAGGAAGTGGTTGTAGCCTAATTTGAAGTACCAGTTTGACATATGTCTGGAGAGACAGAGCAAACCACATAAATCTTCAGCATCTTCTGGACCAAGATCTGAACCCAAGATCTCCCAAATGTGAAGCAGGAGTTCAAACCACTCAACTACAGCATTTGCTCTGTTTCCCAAAAGCAACAACTGATTGGAGAGTGAAGTTGAACACTCACCTGTATGCAGTTAACAGCATTTTTGTATGCATTTATGCTGTGGCATGTGGATGAGGAACTATGTAGCATGTCCATGTTAGACTGTCTCATTTTATGGCCAGTCAAGTGTTTGGATTGAAACAAGTTATTTTCTCGGTCAGTATGAAGAAGTGTAGATGCCAGCAAACAGTTGGCACATGCCTGCATATCCCTGCTACACCTGTTTCTACCTTAAGATTGTGTATGATGGCCACTGCAAGTTGTCCTCACAGATCAAACTAAGGAAGGTTGGTATAGGTACGGGAAACTAGCTGGGTCAGTTAGCATGAGGCTTAGGGTAGCAATGCTGAATTAAGTGGAATTCTTGGAGTTGATCCAGCTTGATGTTGATTCACTTATTTTTCTACAAACCACACTGTTTAATTTATTGTACATTAATACTTATAATTACAATTTTTTTAATTGATCTGCAAACTAGGTCTTGCAGCATTCCAGGGCCATGTCTGTACACTTCAGAATATTGTGAAAGACTGGCAGCGTGGAAATGGCTTGCACATCCCACACTGGGAATTAAAAAAAAATTTGAATTCTCCACGGTGCGGACATATACATGCCATTCTATCTCTCATAGGGAAGTTTGAACGAGGCAACTAAGTTATAATGGCCCTTGAGTAGTCCTCATTTACAGGCACTTATAACAAATTTTGACCTGGCTTTTTCACTGACTTGTAGGTGCGTCTTGTTTCCTGTACCCTAGCTAAATTAATGACTGCTCGTGTCAGAACTCCAGACTCCTTGGCCCTGCCAGAATCCAGAAATATCCACAAAAACATTGTATTGCACATCCCAGACAATGGAATACGATATTATAGATCACGATAAATTTCCAGTAATATCGAAATATAAGTTTCTGAATTTAAAATTACCGAAAATCAATTGTAAATAAATTTCACGGTCATTTTTAATCATCCAAATAAAAGGGTTAGGATTGATCAGCATTGGTATCTACCATCTGTTATATGTTTCAACCTTGAGACTTGACAGTATCATCAGACAGTTGTGGGGTGCTGATTAAAACTATTTCAAAACAATAAATTGCTTACATATATAAATTTTGAGGTTTTCACATCAATGGTTATTCTAGTTGTGGTCTTGGGTTGTTACACTGCATAGTCTTGTAGGCAAATACTGACACTTTAGAGAAACAATCTACCTCCATCTTCAGGGTTGAAGTATGTAGGGTGAACCAGTTTTGAATGTGGACACTGATACCCACAGGAGGATATAAGGAAATGGGAGCCTCCTCAGTGCCAGTGGGAACTGTGGCAGGAAAATGCTGGAAGTTACTTGCAACAGGGGACATTAAGCACACAGGAGTCTGAATTAATAGCTAAACTGAGCTCCATTATGTGTTAAAAATGGAATAAATATATTATTTACTCCATGACTGTAAAACAGTATGTGTTCTATCTATTGCTTCTGCAAGTGAACTATACCAACCAAGCAACTGCCAATTGTCGGCGAAGTTAGTGCCAACTTTAGCGGATAGTGGGTGTCACGTGGTCAGCACAAAGGATACCAATGGCCATTAATCTCGGTTTTCTAGACCGGAGCTGCTGTTTCCTTGAAATAGGTCAATTATCCTCAGGAGGCTGAGTGGACCCTGTTCCACACCCAATACTTCTCAGAACATCTGGTAGCGCCGGGAAATGAACCCGGGACCTTGGATCTATAGCCAGGAACTCTGGCCACTAGACCACAGAGCCAGTCCATCACAGTAATAGAAAAGTTCAGTTTAAGAATTTATCAAGAAATCTCATAATCATCTTGAGGTATGGAAACTTTTAATCTGTACCATAAAAATAAAAGGCTTGTCATGGGAAGTGCCATCACTGTCTTAGGCATGACCTGTACCAGCTGTCAGGTTGGATTACCTTTTCATTTGGAACTTTTATTATGTCAGTGATTTACCTGTTCAGGATCTTTGTTACTGTGATGTGTCATTGCATGATGGCCACTTAAACATTTCTTTAAACTGCTTAACTTCTTTATTTGGTTTTAATTTCTTATCATTCTTCCAGCAATATATTCTTTAAATTCTGGAAAATATTGAAGCTTATCGCATTGTCTATAGTATGCCAGCTGATTGGACAAAGAGGTGCAATTAATTTTTAAACCTGAAGTACAGAATTCATCATGTTTTCAGTTGGGGTCTCGACCTTCTATGAATTCTTTATGTATGTCCAGTTTATTTGTTCTATAAAGCTGTGGAGGTGGGTCTCTCAGATGAAGGGAAAGAATGGACATAGGATGTTTGAGAAGAAATTGCTGAGGAGAATATTTGAACTGAAATCCCATTTATAATCCCAGACCAGCATAATACATTGCATAGGACAGCTTTGAAATAACATAAGTTTTAAACGAATAGCTTTGCAAAGCTTCTGCCTGAGTACAGTGTGGTCACAATTTATGCAAATTTGAAATAATGTGATATAAGATTATGAATTAATAAAGTCTCATTTTATATGCACAGTTTGAAATGATGTGAGCCCCAAAAAATTTGGCAAGAATCACGTTTGTTTTATTCCCATGAGTAAACTTGTCTTGAATTATGTGTGGTCTTCAGGAACGCATCCCTCACATAAAATGTGACTGCACTGTGTGTGGATATCGTGTTTTGAGTCTTTGTCTGTTAATTTGCAGCAGAAGCTCCAGCAGGTGGTGTCAAATGGGTCAGTGAGTGTGAAGCCTCCAGTAGGACCCCCACCAAGTTACAGTGGAACAGTGTTGGCACAGGCCCAGAGAAGCATGGGACCTGCTGTGGGCAGAGTCCCAGCGCAGTACACAGGTTTGCTTCCCATGGCCAGGCCTGCCAGCATTCAGGTAAGTGGATAATGTTTTTGCCAGAATAAGAGCATTGTAGGGGAGTACTTTTTAGCCTGCTCAAAAGGGCAGTAATAGTAGAGAGAAAGTACTAAAAATACATAAGATCTTGTATTCAGAAGAGCCAGTATAGTAACATGTATCTATGGTAGCAGATTCTAAACTGTACATACAGTGGATAAACTTGCATTCATATTTTAATCCCACAAGTCTGTATATTCTGAATATATGTAAATAAATTATTAAGTTATCATTGCCTTCGATAACTAACATCTGTTAAGTTTCTGTTCATTTGGCAAGTAAGATAAAGAATAATTAAAAATAGAAACAGTGACAATATTAAGATCGCGATCTTCTGAGATCTGACACTGTTTAGTGTGGTACATGAGTACAAATGTTTCAGAGAACATGCTGTCTGAATGTTTATTAGTACCCTAAATATAGAGGCAGCAGGTCCTCTGAAACATTATTATTTATCTACCAAACTACACAGTGTCACATCACAGGAGACTTAATCTTAATACTCATTGCTGTGAGAATGTCAGATTTCATACAAGTTACATAAGGAACATGTTGAGTAATCCCAAATTGTATTTTGGGGGGTTGGGGGGATGTAGACAGAGATTATGTTAAGTAGGGGAATGGTAAATGTGCTGTGTTGCTGGAAAGTTGAGCAGCGTGGGTAAAACCATGTGTCTTGACAGGTCAATTGCTAGTGGCACAGTGCATGTTTCCTCATCAGAAGTCCACCCTGTGTTTCTGTTGTGTATTGATATGCAGAGAACTGATGGCACACTGTCCTGATATTGCTCAGTTACTTTTGGCAGATGTGATGTCACTGTTGCATTCATTTGTTTGATATTTTGTTTTACTGGTGACAAGATAAAAGCAAGGTTATGCACAGGAATACTCTACATTGAGTATTATGACAGATTTTTAATAAACTCACTACAAAAATTACAGCTTCTTGTATCTTGTATAAATAACTGCTGGGTCCACTGCTGGGATTTTGTGCTGCAGAATGTACTGCTGTAGAAGGGGAAGTGAAGTAGACGATGTTGTGTATGTATACAGGCCTACTAATAAGTATATGAAGTTTCAGTAATAATGGCAGACTGGCCTGTGAATCAGTATATGTTTGCTGTTGAAACCACTTCCAAACATGCGTGCTGTACAGACAGAAAGAATTCTTAAGTTAGAATTTGATGTGCTGACTCTTTGCCAAGTACAAATTAGAATGATAAAGTCGAGGAGAATCAGATGGACTGGCAATAAAGCACTCAGGGAGGAGAAGAAGAATGCATGTAGAATTTTGGTGAGAAAGCCAGAAAGAAAGAGACCTCTAGGAAGACTTGGACATAGGTGGGAGGTTAATATTAAGATGGACCTTAAAGAGATTGGATTGTGTGGTATGTACTGGATTGATGTCGCTTAGGATAGGGACCAGTGGAAGGCTCTTGTGAACATGGTAATGAACCTTTCTGTTCCATAAAATGTAGGGAAATTTTTTGAGTAGCTGTGCTACTGGTGTTTCTCAAAAAGGACTCAGCTCTATGGAGTTAGAGACATGGAAGAAATTCAGAGCATGGTACAGGTTTAAAGAGTGTGTTGAATTTTGTGTTTGTGAACTTCAAGATTTGCTGACAGTGCAGATTGAGTTTGCACATCGGGGATCTTGGAAAGGATGAATGTAGTGTAACAGAGTCCATCCTGCTCAGCTATGCAACATTTGTTGGCATTAGAAATATCAAACGTAACCATTCTGCACATTTTACATGAGGATTCAAGTTGCCATCCTTCAGATTACACAGCACATAAGGATAAAGGTAAAATTACACACAATATCGGCCCCCAAATGCAGATGTTTGTTCACAATGACTGGTGAGGCAAATCTCCACCTCAGCAGAGGTCATCAGACAAATTACCAATACGAGTATCTTGAGCAACTGGAATTCTTCCATGTCTCAGTATATCAAATTCGAACCTAAAAATTGCTTCCATCTGCACAGTTCAGAAAAAGTTTCAGCCGCAAGTGTGTATTGATTCACGGGTTAGTAGCCTTGACTAGTGAAGCTACATACACTTACAAGTAGGCTTGTGCACATACAATTTCCCCTATTCAAATTCCCTTTGCTACAGCAGTGCATCTTGAAACACCTGATCCAAGAGGTGAACCATATGACATCTAAACAGTGGTCTAATTTTCGTCATAATGCTCATTGTATCTATACAGAATGACATTGTCTACAGGCCACAGGAGTACTTGGGTATCAACACTTTCTGTGCCATGTAATGGAGCCTCAGGTGTAAGCGTATAATAGAAATTAACACAGTTGAAGACTTACTGCATTTCCATAGAAAAGAAATCTACAAATGTTGAAAGTTAATAAATGATAAAACAATTCCTTCCAGTGTGACTGTTGAAGCTTTTACTACTTCACTTCTTAGCACCCTAACATGTTTCGGTCCCTATAGACTGTCATCGGAGGGACATCAATACTTTTAGAAACTACTATTACATTAGGTGTGTTGATTTTTTAAATATACAATATTTGTAATATACACTTTTTACAAAATCCAAATTTCTTACAGCTACAGCAACTGTCCTTGATGCATTAAAGTTTTTTTTTTTTAACTTTTTGTTATGTTTGTTAAAATTCCTTAACCAAATAGGTTCG